TTTTTTTTTTTTTTTTTTTTTTTTTTTTTTTTTTGAGAAACAGTTCTTCAAACATTATAGTTTGTACTTAAACATAATTGCTGCCAGAATATTTTTTTTTTATATTAGACTAATTAAATCTATTAAAGAGATTTGATGTTTAGTTGATAAGTTCTGATCTACAGTTTCTTTTTTTTTAGATAACTCATTGCAACAATTGAAAGAAAATTTACGATATCAAACCAAAATTGTTAAACGTTACTTTTATTTTGTCATCGGTGTTGTGCACTATTATTGTTCCGGTGAGAAAACCAGTCTTGCTTTTCGTTTCCTGTCAATAGTTCAGAAGTGAGCCGTATAGATCAATTTTTAAAGTACCAAAGCAAAAAAGAAGAGAAGAAGGAAAAGGAAAAAGCACTGTTCTTGTTTTTGGATGAATTATAGGTATTAAAAAATTCAGAATTACATAGAAAGCTAATAATGCTTCGAGCTTTAAGTTAGCATATGTTTTTTTTTTGTCAAACTTATTAAACTATAATTAAACAAAATTTTTTATCTTTGGTACTTTTGTTAAGTTCCCCCACGCATACTTTTCGGATCTTAATTGAACTTAACTTTTTACCTAATGTAGCATAACCTAATTGAAGCAATTAGACAAACTTTATTACAACGTTATATAAACTTGGTAAGTAGTGTATAGCATTTTAAGGTGACCAAACTTAATGATGACAATGATGAGAAACTAAAAAAAAATATTTTTTTTTATTTCAATAAACGTACAATTAAATTTAGCAGGAAAAAAATTATATACATAGGTAATGCATTAGAAATTTTACTCGATTTGACTTTAAACTAACTGAATAAGTAAAATAATTTATTGACATGTAGAATTGAAGTAGTTTGGTCATGTTGTTGCATAAATGCTTCTGTATAGCACTGTTATAGTTTTTAGACAAATTCTAGGTATCAAAAAAAATTAGAAATACGTTAAAATACAATAAAACGCTTGAAAATAACTGGTATATAGTTGTTTTCCAGTTAACAATTATTAGTTTTTAGCGCATTTTTTGAAGTGAAACAGAACAAATTATTGCTTCAAAAACAACGATCTTCTTCTCCCCTATTCTCTCTCTATTCCTCCCTTCTCGCGTCTTCTCCCCTCGGTTTCCCTAAATTTATTATATGATGTGAAAAAATTTCACTAAAAATTTGCCATCACTTATGGTTCTGCAAATTTGCTGCTTTTTTTTGTTGTTTTCTAAAAATGTCGTTCAATGAGTATACATCATTGAAAAACCACTGCTGTGAAAAAAATAAATAAATAAATAAATAAAATTACTAAGAACAAAATGTTGGAAAGACAGTTATTCGTTGGTCTGTGTAATATATCATAACATAAAGTAGTAAAATGATAAATGGATTATACCGTTTCAAAAAAAAAAAAAAGTAAAGTATAAATCAAAAATTTAGGTGAGTCAAAAATTACACTTATTTTTTTTGTTGTTGTAGAAACGTCAGATTTGCTAAAAAAAAAAAATTTTTTTTTGCTTTTTATTTCTATCTTTTTTTGGTGACTGTTCTAAATTTTATACCAATTGATCAGCAATAAAACTATCTAATTTAGTATGAAAAAAAAATTTAGTAAAATAATTGCATAATTGCGAATAGTCAGCATGTGCTGAGAAGAAAATGAGATAAGAGACATTTTTCATTAATTTTAGTTTTTCACCAAAACATTTTATTGAAATTCAATTTTTTGTATGATACTGATGACAACTTAAGTGGCCTATCGTTCAAGTTTGCAAGTTGCTAATTTCAGACCATTTTAGAAGTTTTTTTCAAAATTTTATTGTTTTTTTTTTTTAATTTTTTTTAAGTTTGACAATTTTTGAAACGCGTAGTAAACTGTTGTTACAGTCAATTGTGAGCGAAATTGAAGACGGACGCTGCAGTGGAACTGCTGCGGTCCTCAGAACAACTAATTGCTTCTCCAATTTTCTGATGACATCACCTTTGAATCGCTCCGAACTCTGACACGAAGAAGAAGCAGAACGCCAAGACTACTGGAGAATTGATGCTTCATTAAATAATAAATTTATTTTTCTTTTTTATTTTTCTAATATAAACGTTTGACGTTTGGATTTTGTGACAAAAATTGACGATAAATAAC